CTCACTGCTGCCAAGGGAAGGGTCTTTATTCATACCCTCTGTGGCGCGCTTTCGCTGCTAAGGATCATTGGCATGACTTACTTTGACCTAAATCATCTACCTAATCCTCAGGGTGAACCATCCTTGTTAACCCACTGGGTCCAATTCAAGGGTAGGTTGACCCCATACTCACCTTTCTGCAAAGAAAACTTCTGTCTTCTATCTACCAGCATGTGTTATGCTAATGACAAGCGTTCGAAATGAGCCATGATCATACACTGGTCTTTTACTTTGGGATCATTTTCCCTTATTAAGCTCTACAGTTACCACCCCCTTTTGGGGGAAGGACAGGGGACACGTACACGGTCTCTCCTGATACTAGGTCACTCCCTTACTACTTAAAACTCTTATGACTTACGGTAATGGACAAAGAAGTTTGAAGAGGGGCCAGTGGTGGCATTAGCGACGACAGGAATTGAACCTGCAACCCTCTGATTAAAAGTCAGATGCTCTGCCAGATTGAGCTACGTCCCGGTTTCAACAAGAAATTCTATAATTACGCTCCACCCCAGTAGTAATACACGACGAATACCTATAACCAAACTACATCAACGCAAGTAACTTAAACTAAAGGAGCATAAGGGACAATATCCATTCCTTTACCATTGAAAGGTAATTTATAATGCAAAATAATTAGGTAAAACTCAAGGAAGGATAAGATCTTTCCCAAATATAAATTCTCCATAAGCGTCTACCATCCTATTTAGAATACCCATGAGTCTGAACAGTAGCTTTAATACCCCATTTAATTCGTAAAATATCCACCTAAAACTGACACTCATCATGAGTAAATGATTCAGTAGAAATATGGACACCACCGCTTTTCAGGCGGGTATTACCATCATCACCAAATAAGGCACTCAAACCAACGGGAGTTAGCAAGTCCTCCAAATTATCTGGTAAAATTTTACGATCCATACTAGTAGGATAAAAAGCATTCGCAATCTCATTAAAACAAGATAAAGTTCTGGTAGTAAAAGTATAGGCACCAGTAGGTTTATAAAAACTCAATTCAGTCATGTGGCCCCAACGGGGCTAAAGGAGGCAAATACAGATTCACAATAGATTCTTTTATAAGCATCCCCTTTAGCACTAGCTTGAGTATATTTTAAATAGAATTCTCTTCTACTGTAATTTTTAGTTACAGCACTCATATCTCCCTATAAATGACCTACAGTTTTTTCCTGCAATAATGTAGGAAACATGGTAGAAATTAAAATATTATCATCGAAAATAGGACACCAGGAAGAATCTACAACTAAAATACAAACGCTTAAGTTTATGGACTAATTCTTAGTGTTTGGCGGCATAGCTGCTGCAATCACTTTTAATGTATAGTCTCTGAGTAACTCAACCTATCCCTGAGAAGGTAGGTAAAGCAACTGCTAATTAAGGAAACCCTTTTTAGCATTTAATTAAATATGTAGGCGCCCCGTTGTGTTAGGTGCCAATAATATACAGCAAATAAGAAAGATACATGGTGTTCAACAGTGTAAGCGTCAGTGATTGTACGAATCAAGCAGAGAGTAAGAAATAATACCCCAATGATAACGTGAATGGCGTGGAGACCCGTCGTTGCGTAGAACACACTACCAAAAACAGAATCAGCAATAGTGAATTCACCATAAAAATATTCAGTGTATTGAAGGAAAAGGAAGAAAGCTCCTAATAAAACTGTGAAAAATAAACTGGTAATGGTTAAATCTTTGTTACCTTCTACTAGAGCATGGTGACCAATAGTTAAGACAAAACCAGAAGCTAGTAAAACGCAGGAACCTAAAAGAGGGATACCCCATGGGTTTACAGCGTGAATACCAACGGGAGGCCAAGTGGCTCCTAATTCAACAGTAGGAGATAAGCTAGAGTGGAACATAGCCCAAAAGAATGAAGCAAATAGCATGATTTCAGAAGCTAAGAATAGCTAGAAACCAATTAAAATACCTTTTTGTACTACAGTGGTATGGAAACCACCAAAAGCTTCACGGATAACATCACGCCACCAGAAAATAGCAATCTAAATCATTACTAAGAAAGGTGGTAAAATAGAAGTTAAAGCGGAACTAGCTTGGGTTAACCAACTAACTAAACCCTAAGCACCACTCTAAACAGCAAGTGACATTAATAATGGCCATGGAGAAACATCTACTAAATGGTAGGGATGTGCTTGACGTGCAGCGGCAGCAAAGCTACCAACTTGTACTTTACGGTCGGTCATCTCAAAAAATTTTTAAAATATCTGCCTAGGCCACGGTGTTAGCACCGTTGCCATGACAGCGGCTGCGTAGCGTCCGCGGTCTAGGCCGGGGGGCTCCCCTGCCATGGCGGCCACCCACAGGTGGCCATGATCGCGGCTACAGCCGCTGGAGAATGGGGTTTTAAGTCGGTGGCATCAAATTTGACGCCCCGTCGCGCGGTCTGCGCCTGGTGGAAAAGGGGGGATCAAGAGGGAGATAGCGATGTCAATGAAATAGGTAAGCACCCAAAAGGATGCGGTACCTGAAAAGATAGGCCAATTGGGCCCATCATCAACTGGGGTTATACCAGCATCATTAATAGTAGATCAAAATATCGGATTCGGTTTCTTCCTTCAGATGGTTTCAGGAGTTCTCGTTAAAGAACGTAGCTATTAAAATACCCTAAACACCTTTCAGTGGTTGTGATATCTTACACCATTGGTTCTCTTAACC